GATTCTCCATCTTTTTTCCAAGTTATCTTGTCGGTTTCCTCGTTGACTTTGCAGGTCAATGTGAGGACTTCTCCCATTGTGAGTGTTAAATCTGTTTCTGGAACAACTTGAGCAGAGGCTTTTCCTACATTAGGAGAGAGAAAATCGATTAAATTCCTAAAGTCACTTTGAAATTACAGCTGCAGTATCCACACAAAACAAACTAACTAACAATCAAATAAACAATAACACGAGAACGAACCGATCCAGATGTGGCCTTTAAATAATGTTCTCAGAAGATTTCAATTGACCTAGTCTCATTACGAGTTAAAAAGTTCCGCAAATTAACTCTGTGGATAGGTGCAAGAGAGGTAAATATCCAAAGGAATTATTTCGAACATTTAATCGACATTTCACCGCATATTTCGTTCAGGAATGGAGCAGATTTTTGTGCTCCATTACCTTGTTGTTAAGATGAGTAATTATTGTATCAAACTCAACAATGGCTTTTGAGTTTCGCTTTCCTTTTCAAATCTTCCTGCTCTACTCTGAACCTCCTGGATCTCTCCGTAGCAGAAATATATTCCTTAAAATGTTCCGGGTAAGATGTACGAAACATATTTTGTAGTATTTGGCATTAATCAAAAGACGATAGCGTCATTACTTATAGCTATTCCTTGCTTTATTAATCTTTCCAGATATACTCAGTTCACTCAAATAGCGAATTCCTTCAAGCAATTTGTCACAATTCTTATCCCTATGTAATGTAATAGGCTCAAGAAAATTGTTACTAAGGATTGATTTCGTCCGTATTGACTCTTGAGCTTACTCAAATGTAAGAGGATTCTAACTTCGATGATAATTAAACTTCAATAAGAATTATACCTATTCCATCCTTTAGTCTCTTTGTCTTTACACATCGGTTCATAATTGAAGTTATGTGTAGTCTGGAAGCAGTCTAAATGCGCAACCCTTGAGCTCCTGTTTCCCTTCTTTCTCTCAACTTTTATCTTTATCCTTATCTCAACATTCATCTCTAACATCTTCATCTTCATATTCATCTTCATGCTAATTAACAACATTCTATTTTTTTATTAAACTTACCATAAACACGTAGCGCTGCAAAGGAACTAGTTGTATTTTCTTTGTTTTTAGCTGTACAACTGTAAGTCCCTCCCATCTCTTTTGTGACGCGTGGCAATACCAGCAGTGACTCTCCTTTTTGATCAGTCTGATTGATACCAGATGGCAGGTCACCATTATTAAAATCCCAGACAAATGTTGGTGTTGGAACACCTGAGGCTACGCAACTAAAGTTGACAGGATATTCTTCGGTAACAGCTCGGTCTATTGGAGGTGTAGTGATCTGAGGAGAGACTTAAAGTAAAAATATCACCAAGTTAAACAAAGGGTCGCATTGTCCATTTTATTTTAACACTAGTCTCACCCCCGCTCGATTCAAAATAAAATCAAACTACGTAATTCTCAAACCTATTTTTAATCCAAGTTATTTCGCAATCAGTTTTCTTCATCACGTTTGATAAAGGAAGGTATAGCCCAGCTTAATGTGACGTTAAAGCAATATATATATTTTTTAATTTGCCTTAAATATTTCCTATCTAAGGAAAATTAAGGAGCGATGATATTTCATTATCTATTCATTCATTTTTTCGTTAATTCTTATAGGCTAGTAACTGTAACAGGTGTGATGTCAACAAGCCATGCTTGGCTTTGGTAGATTGTGCTGGCATAATTTTAAGCATAACTCAGCAAAACGAGCATTATTTTCAGCTTTTATTTCAGCTTAGCACTGCTGGCATAATCCGAGCTTTTATGCGTTGAAAACAAAAAAAAAACATCATAGCTCTAGAATAATTCAGTTTGTATTTTATTTTTGTATTGTTTTTGGAAAATATTGAGGTCTGTGCTAAGGCCCATGGTCAAATTTGGTCCGGCAGGCGGCAGAGGTCACCCTGTGCATGAGACTAAGACTCAGGCCACCACGCTTATGGCTCGGCGTCTCGGCCCCTCAGGCCTCAGATCAAAGATGGCGTTGTCCTCGAGTACATCCACTTCCACCACTTCAAGCACTTCC